TCGCTATGAGGCGATACTGACTCGATGGCACCTAACAACAACAACAGTTAATACCAACAACAATAACAATGACCCAAGGAAAAGCTGGCGAGAACTGAAAAGAGCTAACAGGAAGAGAGCCTTCCCCTAGATCTAGCATTCTTTCTGCTTGTTAAAGCCATCCACTTGGGGTCTTTTTTCATTATTATTGTGAATTATGTGATAGTTTACATGGGAGAACATTAGTTTTACATTCATCCTATCGTATATTGTCTCATTGCCATGGTTACAATCCCCTCCATGCATCATCAACCATGCAGCACACAGGCCCTCTCCCTCTCTGGATCTAAAGTCTCCAGCTGCTCCATCTCTCCACGTCATCATGTCTGCCTCCATCTCAGGCATCACTACTTCTCTGGGTAGGGTCCCGCTCTCCGCTCTTCTCCTTTGATGGTCCCAAGGACCTCCGCTCCTAGACTGAAAGGTTAATCACTCCCCTCCTTGCTACAAAAAGTCTAAATTTACATTTCCAACCACTTGGGGTCTTTCATCTATAGCAGCACGAGAGAACTGAGGAAGTTGTGCAGTTTAGAGTAGACACATCTCTAAGAACAGATTCATGAACAATTTGATTCTGAAGTGAAGTCTGCACACGGACGTTTATGTTTGTCCTTTTGTTTTCACCCTGCCTTCATCTTTCTCAGAGAGCTGGTGGCATTGTAGGACAAGTTGGGTGTGAAGTGCTGTCAAGTCATTTCTGACTCATAGCAACTCTGTACAGAGTTTCCAAGGAAACAAGGTGGGGTTGAACGGTCAACCTTGTGGTTCGAAGTCTAATGCTTATCCTACAGTGCCACATCAAGTGTCTGTAGGATAAGTAGTGGACTGCTAACCACAAGGTCAGCAGTTAAATCTGCCAACCACTCTTTATTAGAAAAATGAGACTTTCTCCTCTGGTAAAGCTTAGTGTTGTTAAATGCTATCAAGTAGATTCTGACTCACAGTGACCCTGTATAAAGTTTCCAAGGAGTCGCTGGTAGGTTTAAATTGCCAACCTTGTTGTTTGAAGTCTAGTGCTGATCATACAGCACCACACCAGATTTGTTGTTCTTGTTAAAGGTCATAGCGACCTTGTGTATGGTTTCCAAGGAGCAGCTGGTGGGTTTGAGCCTACGACCTTGTGGTTCACAGTCCAGTGCTTCTCCCACAGTGCCACAGAGTCTCAGAGTCACTAGGAGTTAGAAACAAATTGACGTCAGTTAAAGTGGTTTGGGAGTTTGGCATCATTTCTTTTAAAGTGAGTATTTTGCACAGAGCACATAGAGAGTTGGGCCGAGCTTTATTGATCCAATCTGCCCAAAGCTCTCACTTTGTGTACTGAAATCATCTGCATGGCTGAAGCCATTTAATTTATTTTTTGTTTTCCGTTTCTTTGCGTGTGTTTGTGTTTTCTTTTTCTTGCCTTCCTGTGGGTTAATGGAGCACTTTTTTGGTACAATGCCATCTTTCTTGATTGGCAGTGTTTCTGAGTGCCTTCTTTGCATTGTTTTTCTAGGGGTTGCTGTATTACACTAGAAAAACCTAACAACATAATCTCCTGGTACCAACACTACTGGTTCCAGTGGCACACAAAAAAACCTCACTTCTGTTTCTGCCCTTCTCGCATGTATCACAGAATCGCCTAGAAAATGCCCTCTCTCTTTACTGAGAACCACTCAGTGTTATTTTGTCTTGCTTACCTCTGAGACACAATGTGACTCAAGCAGAGGATGAAAGAATATAGCATTTGCCCTCATTTTTGCTCACCACTTTGTGATGTTCCAAATGTCTTTCTTAATCATTTACTTTCTGTTTAAAGAACTTCCTTTCCCCTGTTCTTTTACAGTTGATAATTCCCTCAGTTTTCCTTACCTAGTATGCTTGCTTTCCCCCTCTTCTCTGAAAGAGTTGGTCTTTTTGAAAAGACTTCAGGGTTGAAAGGGCCCTTCCTCCAGGGCTTGGAAGCAACATTCCACCTTATGACCTCCATGGTTTCTGATGTTACCTTATATAGACAGCCTTACAACCTTGTGATCCTAAGTCCAGCGCTTACCCTACAAGCCGCTGTATTTCCTGTTTTACTACTTGTTGTTCTTGTTAAGTGCCCTTAAGTCAGTTCTGAGTCACAGCAACTCTGCATAGGGTTTCCAAAGACCAGCTAGTAGGTTTGAACTGTCAACCTTGTGGTTCACAGCCCAGTGCTGATTCTAGAGCATTGTTTTTCCTACTTACTGTTGTTAAGTACCGTCGAGTCGACTCTGTCCATTAGCGACCTTGTATAGGGTTTCTGAGGAGCGGCTGGTGGGTTTGAACTGTTGACCTTACAACTAGCAGTCCAGTGGAACTGCAGACTCTATGCACAATGAAACTGTTTCCAGATCTTGTATAATTACAATGACTGGTTTCGGATCGCACTGTTATAATTCATAGGGTTCTCAGTCGCTGAATTTCAGGTGTAGATTGCTAGACCTGTTGTGTTACTTCGTCTTAATCAGGAGGCTATATTGAAACAGCAATACGCAAGAAGTCTCTGCTGACAGATTAACGGTGTAATCATTAACATGACTGGCCAATAACCGACCCTGGGTCTACTGCGTGAAATGAAAGGGAAGATCTCAATCACGGAACTGCCCAGTTGTCGTTGAGTGCTGACAAGTCGATTCTGACTCAGCGACCCCATGGGACAGAGTTGCAGTGCCCCATAGGGCTTTCCGGGCTGCAATCCTTTCGGGAGCTGATAGCCAGGTCTTTCTTCAGCAGCTCCACCGGGTGGGTTCAGACC